TTTCAGAGAGACTGGAAATGTGGTCCACTGTCTGTCTGTCAGTTTGTCATATTGTGGTGGTTTGTGAGTTGCTGTCATGCTGGAAGCTAGGTCACGGGGATTTCAAACGCCAGCAGGGTCACCCAAAGTGAACAGGTTTCAGTGGAGCATCCAGACGAAGAACAATGAATAAGGAACTAGCTGGCTGCCCACTTCGGAGGAAGAACCCACTGAGAACCTTAGGCATAGCTTCAAAACATTGTCAGACACTGAAGACCTGAAGAATGGAACAGAGTAATCTCAGAGATAGAGCCAGAGGAGGGGTGCCCTCAGGTCAGCACACTCGAAATGTAGGAGGAGATGCTTTCTCAAATTACAGTCCACCATGGTGAGGTGAATGGAGTAAATAAAGCCTATAGGAGGGAAACCTTCAAGATTTCATTTGCTTATTGGGAATAACTCAAGATGAGACAGCTGCCCAAGACCCATCTGTAGGCAACTGGACATCCCCTTCCAGAAGGGTCGCTGGGGAGGAGACAAGCCAATCAGGGTGCAGTATAGCAATGATGAAACATACAACTTTCCTCTAGTTCTTAAATGTTTCCTCCTGCACCCACCCCACCACCCCCACTATCATGATCCCAATTCTACCTTACAAATCTGGCTAGACTAGAGAATGTACACGGGTACAGATAGGAACTGGAAACACAGGGAATCCAGGACAGATGATCCCTTCAGGACCAGTGGTGAGAGTGGCGATAATAATAGTTTTTAAATTATCAAGGGTTCATTGAGGGAGGGGGGAGCAGGGCGGGAGGGGAAAAATGAGGAGCTGATACCAAGGGCTCAAGTAGAAAGCAAATATTTGGAAAATGATGATGACAACAAATGTACAAATGCACTTGACACAATGGATGGATGTATGGATTGTGAAAAGAGTTGTATGAGCCCCCAATAAAATGATTTTTTATAAAAATTTTAAAAGATGAAACAGCTGCAAAAATCTACTAAGAATTGGAACGTGGAGTGTATGAAATATGACTCTAGGAGAAAGTGAAGTGGTAAAAGTTGAAATGACCACCTAAAGATCACCGCTGAAATGGACTGGCGTTGGCCATTTTGAATCAGAAATTCAAATGATCCACTATGCCAGGAATGACAGAATCAAGGAGAATGGCATTGCATTCATGGTCAAAAAGGACAATCAAAATTAATCCTGAATGGCATACAGTCTGTGATGAGATTCTATCTAACCGAATTCAAGGAAATCCTATCAATATAACTGCTATTCAAATTTATGCACCAACCACGAAAGCTAGTGATGAAAAAATTGAGAATTTTACCAACATCTTTAGGTGGAAATGGTCAAACATTCGATCAAGATGCATTGATAATTAATGGTGATTGGAATGCAAAAGTGGGAAATGAAGAGGAAGGAAAAATGTGGTTTTGGTGATAGAAATTAATCTGGAGATCACATTATAGAAGTTTGCAAGACCTTTCTTGTTCATAGCAAATACCTTTTTTCAACAACACACAAAAGGCATTAATGCCCATAGACATCTCCAGATGGAATACACAGTGGAATAATCTGTGGGAAGAGACGATGGAAAAGCTCAATATCAGCAGCTATAACCAAGTCAGGGGCTGACTGCAAACAGATCATAAATAGCTAATATGTTAGTTCAGGTTAAATCTGAAGAAAATGAACACAAGTGCACGAAAGCCAAAGAACAACCTTGGACATTCCTGCCCCTCCCCCTCCCCCCCAGAATTTCAAGAATATCTCAAGGGCAGATTTGATGCATTGAACATTAATGAGAGGAAACCTGATGAGCTGTGGGAATACATCACAAATATTGTTCATGAAGAAAGCAAAGGGTCACTGAAAGAGAGGAAGGAAAGAAAAGACCAAAGTGGATAGCAGAACAAACTTGCAACTTGCTCTTAACCACCGAGTAGCTAAAGCAAATGGAAGAAATGAGGATGTGAAATGAACAAAAATGTTCAAAGGGCAGCTCGAGAAGACAGAAGAATAATTCGCTAGTTTATGCCAGGAAATTTGGGAGACAGCTTAGCCAATTGAATAGAAGAGATCCATATTTGTCCCCATTCCAAAGAAAGGTGACCTAACAGAATGCTCAGATTATAGGACAATATCACTGACACCACAGGCAAGTAAAATTTTACTGACGATCATCCACCAGCACTTGCAGCAGTACATTACATTCACAGGGAGCTGCCAGAGAATACCAAAAAGATGTTTACTTGTGTTTCATTGGCAGTGCAAAGACATTCCACGGTGTGGATCATAACAAATTATGGATAACCTTAAGAAAAGTGAGAATTCCAGAATATTTCATTGTGCTTTTGAGGAACTTGTACGAGGATCAGGAGGAAATCAGAACAAGGGAAAAATGCATGGTTTAAAATTAGGAAATGTGTGACAGGGTTGTATCTTCTCACCATACTTAAGCTGAGCAATAAGTATGCAATTTATATGCTGAGCTATAGGCAAATAATCAAATAAACTGGATCATATGAAGAAAAATGGTATCAGGATTGAAGGAAGGCTTATTAACATCCTACACTATGAAGATGATACTGTATTGCTCGCTGAAAGCAAGAACTTGAAGCACTTGATGACAATTAAAGACTGTTGCCTTCCATCTGATTTCAACTCAATATAAAGAAAGCAAAAACCTTCACAAGTGCACCAACAGACAACATCATGATAAAGGAAGAAAAAGTTGAAGTTGTCAAGAATTTCACCTTGCTTGAATCCATAGTTAATACCGACGGAAGCAGCAGTCAAGAGATTATACAGAAAACAAAAAAAAACAAACTATATCACATTTAGCAAATCTGCTGTACAAGACCTCTTTAAAGTGTTGAAAAGCACTTTAAGGATTAAGATGTGCCTAACCCAGGTCATGGTATTTCCAATTTCCCATTTTGCATGAGAAAGTCGGGCATTGAATTAGGAAGACTCAATGAGAATCTATGCATTTAAAATATGGTATTGACAAAAAATATTAAAAGTACAAATGACTGCCAGATCAAATCTATCTTGGAAGAGGTACAGCCAGAATGCTCTTTAGAAGTGAGGTTAGCAAGACAGTCTCATGTGCTTTGGTTATGTTATCAGGAGAGGCCAGTCCTGGAAAAGGACAGGTCAAGTAGATGGTTGGTTTCACCTTTGACAAGATGAACTGACACACTGGTTGAACAACGGGCTCAAACATAACAATTGTGAGGGTGATACAGATCTGGGCAGTCTTTCATTCTGTTGTACATAGGATCCCTGTGAGTCAGGACCACCTTGACGGCACCTAACACGGACAAGAAAAGTTCACTTGAATCCCGTCAGCATGATCTCCCTCTTCAAAGAAAGCAATTGCATCAATGGGATCTCTACTTCCTGGTCACATTACTTTTGACCCTGAGTTTTCTGTGTCTCTTTGATAAGGACACTTGTTATGCTCACTCAGATAATCATTTCATCTCAAAATCCTTAATTATATCAACAATGATCCATTTTGTCATGTAAACTAACATGTATGTAAACTCTGGGGGTAAGGATGTGGACAGTTTTAATTGGGCAGAGGAGAGATATTGTTCTGCCTAGTATAGGTTTTAAGATGCTGTCTTGAAAGAGAAGGGGGGGTGCATAAATGCCTTAAACAAATTCACATTATTCAATAATAATTGGTGAGTTACCACAAATTCACCTTCAACCTACAGAGTAGATAGCCCGGGGTTCAGCTTGCTCACTATAAAATAGCAGATTGTCTGTCCTATACTACACTGAATACTGTGGGAGAAGAGGAAGGATATAAATCCATTGCAGTACACCTTTTTTTTAATTATAAATAATTTTACTGGGGCCTCCTGCTGCAGTACACCTTTTAAAACATAGCCACATCAATAAATGCTAATATTTATGGAACACCAACTGTGTTAGTCTGGGCTGACTAGAGAAACAAATTCATAGACATTCATATGTGTATAAGACAGAGCTTTATATAAAGAGTATTGTAAACTAAAAAAACATCCTAGCCCAGTCCAAATCAAGTCCACAAATCCGTTATTAGCCCATATGTCTGATACCAACATATTAAGTCCTCTTCAGACTCAAGAAACACATGCAATGATGGCAAATGCAGGAAAATCACAGGCCACTGGTTAGGAAGTCTTGTGGATCCAGTGACACTGTAAGCATCTCCGCGCTGGCAGGGGTCTCCATGTGGCTCCTCCAGCTAAGGCCACTAGTATAGTTCCATGTGTCTTGTCAGCTGCAATGTCTCCCAGTGAGCTACTATTTATCCCCTTAACGCCTCCAAATTAGGTCATCAAGCTGCCACCTGGCTGACAGGCTAAACTCCACCCCTTCACTCTTAATCCTCTCAAACTGACAGCAGATTATGTCACAAACACACCAACTGTGTGACAGGCACAGTGCTAAGCATTTAAGACACATTAACTCAGTTTTCTCAATGACCCTATGAGACAAAAGGAATTACCATTTCCATTTTAAAAATAAGAAGCATGATGGCACAAAGACGAAATTTATTGGTCAGAAATCACAGTTAATATAATAAGTGGCGCACCTAGGATCGGAACCCCAGCTGTATGCAGCCAGTAAACCATAGAAAAAAGACACAGGCTTTGGAGGAAGCCTCATGGAGAACAGAAAAAGTCATGCCGTTGCTTAGTAGTGTACAGTTTACGATCTTTGTTATGTTTGCTGTTGTTCCGGCCAGTCTGTCAATCTATCTCCTTACGAGTTTCCCTCACTGGTGCAGACTCTGCAATTTACCAAACAGGATGTCTTTCTCTATTGACTGTTTTTTTTTGTTTTTTTGCCTGACGGCATATCCAAAGTTAAGAAAAATGAAGGAATCTAAATAACAGATTGCTGGTGTTTCTATCTTCCCAGCACAGAATTCATACAGAATTTATTTGAGTTATTTATTATTAAATATCATTTCAAGATAAAAATGCCAAACAAAGCAACGCACCTGGTTGAATGAAGAATCACTATCAGAGCTATTGTCTGTGCAGTAACTATTGCTTTTCTCCTTTGGGGTTTTTTTCTGCTTCTCTTGAACTCGTAGCTCATCTTCTTCAAATCTGTTCATCAGAGATTCCACCACGACGGTCATGATGTTCTTCAAGGAGTGCATCATTTCTTTGTACCTTTAAGTTCAAAAACAGTCTGAATAAAAGGAAGCATATCAACACATATTTAAATAGTCTACTAAGGCAACTATCTGATTCTGTTTAATATGAAAAATAATAATCCTTTCAGAGCACCATTCTATATATTTAAGGGTCCAGAAATTAATCCAGATATTTAGAGTTTAAACTGACTTCTGACAAGAGTGCTAAGTCCATTTAATGACAAAAGAAGACTTCAATAAGCAATGCTTCAAAAATTGGATTTCCACATACAAGAAAATGAAAAAGGAGGAGGCTTGCTTTATAACATATAAAAATATTTTAAACAAATTCAAAATGGATTAAGGACCTAAAAGTACAAACAGAAACTATAAAATTATTTTTTTAAACACCTTAGAAGAACTATCATGGATAACACTATTATAGCTTGCTTTCCACAAGAGAAAAACTAATATAATAAAAGCACAAAAATCAAGTGGCAAAATAAGTAGATAAAGCCTCATCAGAATTAAAAACTCTTGTTCATCAAAAGGTGTTACTAAAAAATGTGAAAAGGCAAGCTACCAACTAAGAGATTATCTTTGGAAACCATGTACTTGACAAGATCTAATCAAACTAATATATAAAACTTGGACAACTTAACAACAACTCAATCATATGGGCACAGCACTAAATAGACATTTAACCAAAGAGGACATTAAAATGACCAATAGACACATGAAAAATGTTCAAAATCATTTATTATCGATAAATATCCATCAAAACCAAAATAGGTAACTCTCCCACCTTGCAAAAAGTGAAGCAGCACTGACAACACTCACCATTCTATGGCAAGTACTGGAAGAGATCCTCATCTGTACCCATTCAGAAAGAGAAAAAGGTGACCCACCAGACTGTGAATATTATCGAGCAATATCATTAATATATGCATATAAAATGTTGTTCCAGATAATTTTTAAATGGTTGCAGCAGTACATTGATAAGGGGCTGCCAAAATCCCCAGGTGGATTTAGAAGAGGACAGGGATAAAAAGAGCAGGTAGGAGTCTTGGGATCACTCCTTAAGTGAATGAGCTAAGTACATGCAGCATAACTGAGCCAGGAAGACCCAGCTTTCTCCCTGATAAATTCTGATCTTCAAATAACACCGAAGCAACAGAATGCCCTGGTAGCAATCAACCTCTATTCACCAAAAGTTTCTCTTTTCTTCCACAGGATTGGATTATACCTGGGCACAGGGCTAAGCTACATTTCCTAGCCTCCTCTATAGCTAGACACAAACACATAAACAACATGAGTCCCTGTTTTCTGAAAAGTTACAATTTGTTGATTTAATTAAAAACAACTTCTATCTAAATGATCTGCATGCTAAGCATATCATAGAAAATGACCCATAAAAACCTATAAATTTCATTATAGAATAAATGTCTTTTTCCAAACTTCCAGAAAATTCTGACGTTAATACTTGCACGAAATTCCAGTAAATGTCCACACAGAAAGATAAGAATAATAATTCCCAAAATTAAGTTAAAAAAAATTAGGTACATTTTCAATATCCAAGTTGACACATAGCCTTAACAATCAGTCAATTGTTACTCTCCTCTTACACCTCATCTTTGCAAAATAGATTTTGCTCTACAAAATAGTCAGATAACAGATTTTTCTAACTACAGTCATGAATGTGAAACACTGGATAATGAGACAATCAGTAAGTAAGAAATTGGTTGATAGTCACCAGTGAATAGATAGCTTAACAATAAAATAAACACTACAGAAAGAAGCTCTAAGAGTAAGTAAATAAATCCCCTATCAATGGACACCAAAAAATTGGCATAATCAAGTTCTTCTACTCATTATATGATTAATTAATGGGCTTCCTTCACAATCTAAAAGGACAGCATTCCTATGAAACTTTATGTCCACAAGTCAAAATAGGATAAACCAAAGAAGTAATTACCGTTAATTTATAAGGGAAAATGTTTTAAGCCATCTCAGACCCAAAATACAACATACCAATTCATACTAAATACATAAAACCTAAAACAACACACATTGAGTTCACAGACATAATCCAACAATGTAAAATATTCAGGGTAATTCCTAGAGAGGGAACTTGGCTACAGAAGGCAGGTACTAATGTAGACTTTTCATAAATGCAAAATAGTGTACAGCAAACTTTTGAAAAACAGATACCTATAATGATAAGTCCTATAGATTAATTCCCCGGGTATAATCATATGAAAAATAAATAGGTAAATAATTTGTAATTATTACAGTAAAAACCAGTATTAACAGACATGCTGTGCTTATACCAGCCATAAGAAGTTTCTGAAGGAATGCTGCAAAATTAACAATTTGAAAAAAACAATAGATGTAGAATTTAAAATATGTCATCTATGGTTCAAGTAAAAAAGGCAAACATTCATTAAGTCATGTAAGATCTATGCAAGGCAAGTATGGCTAGACCAGAGGATGTACACTGGTACAGACAGGAACTGAAAATACAGGGAATCCAGGGCGGATGAACCCTACAGGACCAGTGATGTGAGTGGCGAAACAGGGAGGGTAAAGGGAGAATGGGTAAGAAAGAGGGAACCGATTACAAGGAACTATATGTGACCTCGGCCCTGGGGGACAGACAACCGAGAAGTGGGTGAAGGGAGACGTCGGACAGGGCAAGATATGACAAAATACCCATTTATAAACTATCAAGGGCTCATGAGGGAGGGGGGAGTGGGGAGGGAGGGGAAAAATGAGGACCTAATGTCGGGGGTTTAAGTGGAGAGAAAATGTTTTGAGAATGATGTACAAATGCGCTATACACAATTGATGTGTGTATGGATTGCGATAACAGTTGTATGAGCCCCTAATAAAATGTTTTTTAAAAAAAAGATCTATGCAAGGCAACTATTGTTAATTTTTACATATGAATGAATGAAACCACAAGGAAATCAAATAGCTCATATAAAACTTTGCTCTTAGCAATAAAATACTTTCATTATCTAACCAATAAAATATTTTAGAACTCTTCTAGGAATAAACTTAATGATACTGCTAGAAATAGAGTCGTGAGATTATAATATTATTCAAAGACGAATATGAATTCATTTTTTGTTTTACTTCAAATCAAGAATTAAGAAATATTCATCTCTATGGCTTTTAGTTAGTAGGTATTAATTGTCTGTATTTATGAAATTAATAGTGTACCCTATCACTTTGTAAGTAATAAAACCCAGTTTAACTTTAACTTAATGCAGGTGTATATTCAATGTTTCTGATATATGCAAGATGTAGTTTAGCTATAGACTTAGTTCTAACATCTGCTTTTAAATTGCAGTAAGAAATATCCATTATGGGCCAACACGCAGAAGAACTCAATTTCAAAAGCATTGAGAGAGATCACATAAAGTTTATGTATTTACTATAATCATGTCTCTTTAGAAAATAATTTTAAACTCCATGTAATACCAGAATGCTTACCATCCTAACATAAGAAGCATCTAAAATTAATAAAGTTGTTGTTCATATGTGCCATTGAGTGTTCGTATCCACAGCAACACAATATACAACAAAACAAAACACTGCTCAGTCCTGCACCATCTTCACAATTGTTCCTATGCTTGAGTCCACCGTTGCAGTCAATCCATCTCCTTCAGGACCTTCCTCTTTTTCGCTGTCCCTCTACTTTATCAAGCATGATATCCGTCTTCAGAGACTGGTCTCTAAAATGAAGTCTCGCCATCCTTACCTTTACGATGCGCGCTACCTCATACATTTTCCAAGACACATTGGTTTGTCCTTTTAGCAGCCCATGATGTCCAAATTTCACATGCAGATGAGGCAACTGAAAATAACACGGCTAAGGTAAGACACGCCTTCATCTTCAAAGTAACAATCTTGCTTCCCAATCCTCTAAAGAGGTCTTGTGTAGCAGATTTACCTAAGGCAATGTGTCTTTTGATCTACGGACTGCCGCTTCCATGGGGCTTGGTTGTGGATTCAAGGAATACAAAAATCTTTGTCAACTTCAAATTTTCTCCATTTACTATGATGTAACCTATTAGTCTAGTTGTGAAGATTTTGGTCTTCTTTACATTGAGTTGTAAACCATATTGAAGGCTGCAATCCTTGATCTTCATCAGCAAATGCTTCAATCCATCCTTTCAGCAAGCAAAGTTGTGTCATCTGCACATCACAGTTTAATAGTAATAATCCAGCATCTCTGATTATTTTCACAGAATACAAATTGAATATGTATGATGAGAAGATACAACCCTGCCGCACACCTTTCCTGATTGTAAGCCATGTTCACATAATTGCCTCTTGATCCAATACCTAATGCAGTATGTCTTTTGATCTCTTGGCTGCTGCTTAGTATGTATTCTTTCCAACTTCTTTTTATGCTTCCTGAATAATTCAATATTTTGTCCATAGAATCTTTCAAGATTGCAAATCTAGACTTGAATTTTTTCTTGAGTTCTTTCACTTCAAGATATACTCAGTGTGTTCTTCCCTTTTGGGTTTCTAATTCTATGTCTTTGCATATGTCATTATAATATTTGACTTTGTCTTCCTGGGACGCCCTTTGAAATTTTTTCTTCAGCTCTTTGATTTCTTCAGTTATTCCATTTGTTTTAGTTACTCTACAATTAAAATCAAGTTTCAAAGTTCTAATAGAGAGGGAAATTAGGCCATCAATAACAAATAAAGATATGCCAAAGAGTAAAAGATCATTAAAATAAGGAATATGCAAGTAACGGAAGATATATAACAGGAGGAAAGTTCAAACTTTCTTTCACCCCTATATTAAACTGCATCTTGCATGAAAACTAGGTATTTTTAATGGTATTGCACTGCCCAAGAACCCTGAGTAGTTCACTAATATCTCTGTTGTCCACTTGTCTTCAATGGAAGTCTCCATGAATCTGATCAAGTTTCAACTTGATGATTTCTTCAGTGGTTTTTAATGACTCAGCAGTTCAGACATGGTTTATAACGCACCAAAATTCAGCAAAAAGCTATGGCTCACTACTTTCTCAGAGGTCAAAGACAAGCAACTAACAATACATAGGGAGAACACTGTTAAGGGATTAAAGTTCATATATGAATATTCCAGATTATTTCCCTTAGGAAGTTACAATAGATAAGCAGGAAGTCAATAATGCAAATAGCTAAAGAAGAGAATATTTTCTGATAGTAAAAAGTGTCCCAGAAAGACAAACTACAATGGACGCCAATATCAAACAACTCTACCACACAAGACAAGTCACTTATTTGCCTCTCTTGTCTCCAAAATAAGGATTTTTGGATTCCATTTTAAGGTATTTTCCAGAATGGATATTCTAACAATTTTTGGAATTAAAATTAACATAACCAAAGCTGAAATTATAAGTGACTAGCATACTTTCAGTCTTTCGTGACTTTTGTCAGGTTGAATGATCCGTATAAGATTCTCTGTTAATGTCCCTAATATCTACCCTCCTTCTCTTTCATGAAGTATTAGAACAACTCCTCTAAGTTTTCACTCTGAGACATGATCAAAAAATAGATAATACATTTCCCAGTCGACATTCCAGATATAGACTTGGGCATATGATCAAGTTTTAGTTAATGAAAGTGAGATGTGGGGGATGGAAATTAAGCTACTTGCCCTCTTCTCTCTCTTTGCTTGGCCAGGCTGGAGAACAATTAGAAAGATAGCATACCTGCTTCAACAATGCTCATGAAAGATAATGTAGGAAGGGCTTGAAAACTATGGCCTACCACCTGCATTTTTAATGAAAAAGATGTATTATAATGGAAAGCATATTAGGCTCCTTATTTACATAACTGTGGCTACATTAATACCATAACAGCTCACAAAGTTTAGAATATTTATAATGTGGCTTTTATTTTTAAAGTTTGTGAGTCCCTACCTTAAGATATGATGGAACTGCAAAATAATACAAGTCAGTTTCCCTGGATGGAGGCACTGACAGATTTGTATTTCTACTCTACACAAACAAATTTCTGAACTCTTACATGAAAGAAAAAAATACCTTTTTCTTGCTTTTTACTGTGGTTAGGTGGTATCAGGTTAGCTCCAACCCAAAGTGACCCCACAGACAAAACAGAATGCAATGCTTTCCATTCCTACACCACCCGACAGTCAATTCAAGCAGGGGGCCCACTGTTGCAGCCACCGTGTCAATCCATCTTGTTGAGGATCCTGCTTGAAGCACTGTGTTGTGGTACCTCTTTATCATAGCCGCTTAATGTGTATTCTTACTCATATGCCTTTCTATACCAAGTGACCTTCTGTGCAGTCATACCTTGCATAGAAAATACTCTTTCACATTTCTATTGCAATATAATGTCAAACACCTCATTAGACTATGGAATATTGAATGGTACGTTTCCTGTTCATACTGGTTGCTCCATAAGTAGCTACACTTAAAACGTGTAATGACTATGTGATTGATGATGAACAAAAGAAAATGATGAAATGATGTATTGCTAAAACCAAAATTACTTCAAATATCAATAAATCAGGCTGGTTATATTGGCAACAGGAACTTTCATTAACTTTTTCAATGAATGCCAATTAAGCACCTAAAATAGCAGTCACTATCTTCTAGGCATTAAGAATGATATAGACAAAATTATAAAACTTTATATTTTATAGAATTTACATTCTAGTGAGGAGACATTGAAAATAAGCATAAAAAGTGCCCACATATTGTTCTTTACTAATCAGTAGCAATAAGAAAAAGAAAACAAAATGAGAGAATGAGACAGTAACAGGAAAGGTTACTTTTTTACATATGTAAAGGTTATCGTATATACTTGTGTATAAGCCAAGGTTTTTCAGCACTTTTTTTAAATCATTTTATTGGGGACTCATACAACTCTTATCACAATCCATCCATTGTGTCAA